CATTCTTGGTGTACAAAACAGGCACGTCCAAGCACTTCATACTAACAAAGCTCAAATCTCTACTGACTCGCTCATGGAAGGGTTAAAAATAGAAAGTCCTACCCACTGGTTTGCTCTGATGTTCTAGGAGATATTGTCACTGGATGTATCCTCAATAGAATTCTATTCAACACCTCTGTCTTTAAGTACAAAGCTGTAGGCTGTAGCAGCTTTAAGAAACATAAGTATCCCTTTTTTTCTGCTGCACAGTATCTGTGTGTGAAATTCTCTAAAGGGGTTTAAGTATTTACCCTGAACACTATCAGACAGTTTCTAAAATTTTCCTTATCCTGTTGCAAACACACACACACACACACACACACACACACACACACACACACTTCAAAGAGAACATAAATACAGTTCTTTGTGCTTTTAGCACATACTCTGTTTTGGAGGCTTAAGCCTGAATTTTTTTGGAATTGCAAATGCTCCCATCCCTCCCCCCCAACAAAAGGCACGTTACATAACAATTTTTTTTTTCAGTCATTAATAACTATAGTCACTAAGGAGAAGAATGGAAAAATATGAGCCAGAAAAATTACATAAGTGGAAAGGGGGGGAGAAGGGTAAGAAAACAATTAAATAATATTATTTTTACAATTACTGATAAAGTTATAAAAAATTTTATTCTTTAAATCTTCTATCCTCTGCCTCTCACCACCCCCCAAAACGTTTTCTTGTTATTGTTGCTGTTGTTTTTAAAGCCTGGATCAAAAGTCTGTGGTGAGCAAAACTGAGGAAGGAATTTAGACCATCAGAGCTGAAAGGCAATACTTAGTGCCCTATGTAAGAGCATTGCTCCTAATCTCAGCCTTCTTATTTGTTCTGGCATTCAAGGTCGTAGGCCACTAGCCTCAAATATCAGCCTACAGCCAGCCTATATAGTACATCTGAGTCACTCTGCTGAATTTGGGTACAGCAGAGAAAGGGAGAGTAGAGTTTAAGCCTTAATTCTGAATGATCAGACTTTTAATTTCAGATTCTGAATTACTGTAGTGTACTTTTCCAATAACTCAGAAATATTGGATTTGAAAACTGGAATCCCAAAGTGAATGTTTTAATATTTGCAATTAACTGAGATTAATCTTCAATGTGAACTAAAACTTTTTTTCTTTCCAAAAATAATGCATGATATTACCTTTACCTTTAGTTGTGATAGCAGAAACTGCTCTGGTATATAAAAAACCCACCATGTTCTACATCTCAGCTTAAAATAAAAGCCCAAAGTGCTATAAAAGCTTCATTAATTCCCCTAGAAACAAACAAACTGTTCCACCCAGACTTCATTCCCCATGACCATATACCCTGCATTTAGAATAGATATCTAAGCTAAAATGGATAGGCTGCTGCAATTAAGCTTTCATAGTAGCTTTAAGGAAGCTCAAACCAAGAAGAAAAATGTCATGGGACATTTTAAAATTAAATGACTAAAACTTCTGTAAGAAAAGGTCATCTTTAACTTTCCTAAGCTTCACCACTCCCTCATGAAGAGCTTTAACAACAAGCAAATGAAATGCCATTACATAAAACTCTCACTCATTTTCTGCATCTCTTAATATTTTCAATGCCATGACTCTGCTCTTCCTGCCAAATTTTAACATAAATGGGTGGGATTAAATGGAGCCTGTAGCCTACCTAACATAATTATATATGTTGTGATTTTGCACTGCCTCGAAACGGATACATTTTAATAATCCTGGTCTTGGCTTCTATCCACTCAAGTCAATAAAGGTTATTAAGGCCAACTGCCATATAAATACACTACCACTCGGCAAAACAAATTGTCAAGGCAGGAAACACAATTTATCATAACACACCAAACCATCAGGGTCTGGTCTTTTCTTTCTTAGTGGAACACCAGATACATAAGCACAAAGCAGTTTCTCGGCCATATGTAAATAAGCAATATTCTTTAAATGTTTGTGTTGGAAACAACTCCAAAAGTGTGTCCTCTGGTCTTTACTGAAATGATTGAGTTAGGAAGAAAATGAATATATCCCATCAATTTGGAAGGTTCATATTCCACTCTCTTTTTCTGTATCCTCATGAATTTGATGGTGTTAAAACATTTTTATAGGTAAAATAAATGTCAGTTTTTCAAGGCACGAATGATACCAGACCCTGAGAGACAAATGGCCTATCCACTGAATCTACAGCTACAGTAACACTTCCTCACATCACAAGAGATTTCAGCTTTTCATACTTCTCTTTACCCAGAAAGCAAAGCTTGTACAGTCTCTTTCAAATGGTAACTCTTTCTTTGAATTCAGTGGACACTTACCCTGAAGAGTCTCTAGATAATATATTAATCTGGGATAAGGGAGTGGTCATTGGGGTTTTTTGTTTGTTTTTAATAAAATACAAGCATCTGAATAGCCTTAGTCCTTTTTTCCTGGATGAGAAGAGAAGAGAGAGAAAGGCTAGAGAGATACTTAGATTGTAGAGGGAGGGCTATGCACTTCAGGTTTAATGTCTCTAAATTCATGAGGTAATATTCAGAGAAAATGTGAAATTTTATCATACTGTCATTCAAATATAAGGTTTAACATTTACATCACAAGAGCAAGTGCAGAGTAAAACCATCCTCAGGGAGAGAAATGCCAAGAATAAACAGCATGATAAAAATGTGTGCTTGCTGAAACAAGGAGTGAGAAGTAGGGGCAGAGGATGAGGGAAAGGCTTACATGGGGAAAACCATGAGGTTTAGACAGTTGGAAAGTTTTTTTTAAATACATGACTGGTTATAACATGTGAAGTAATTACCATTAATAGAGGAAAAGCTATTTAAGAACTCATTTTCCTTTCTTCCTCTGCCCCACCTTCCCCCTTTGCCTTCCAACACATAGTAAATGTGGGAATGCTGAAAGTAAAAAAAAAAAAAAAAAATTCTGCCTAAGTCTCTTCTATATATGAAACTACTTCCAAATCTCATTTAACTCATAAGCAAAAAGGGAATACATTCATTGCCTGTTAAGTATTTTTGGTTTGGCTTCCAAAAGAGAAAAATCAATGATGTTTTTTGAAAACACAGAGCCCATTTATTAGAAGAGATCCCCCACATACGCTATTTTACATGACCAGAAAAAGCATAATTGTTCATTGAAAATTATTATAATTTTGAGTAATATACTGCCTAGAAGCCAAGGGAGTACATTCAGCAATGCTTTTTTGATTAACCTAATTCTATAGAATCCAAATGTGCTCCAAACACTGCACTTTTTATGTTAAATTGCTGTTGAATTTGTTAACCCACAACTGATTTCCTGTGTTATGGAATCTTAGAGATTACAGCTAACTTGAAGCAACAGGGATAATTCTTGACAGTTAATGGTACATTTCTATGCATTTTCCTCAAAGCCAAGAATCCTGTTGTCTCAAAATGGTAGCTAAACATTGCCCCCTACTGCTTAAAATTGAAGGGAATAAAAAAAGGATAGACTACGGAGGGATAAAATAGAGCCTTAAAATTAACTAACTTCTCCCTTCTCTATCCCTCTAATACCCTCTCTTCTCTATTCCTATTCCCCATCCCCACCCCAGGTTCTTAGATATTATACATTAGTAGATATGAAAGAATGGACATATCCAATCATCATTCTACTTAATTTCCTGCCATGGCTCAAACTAATTGTGTGATTAAAATGCTTAAACAGTCATAAAACATTTTTTCCAAGGTTAAACTTCAATTAGAAGCAGCTTCTCAGCTTGTCTTGTCCCAAACAGTAAGTCCCTACTGATAAATATTATCCTGAATCATGTAAGAGACACTGAGGCCACTTTCAATCTGAACACACATTAATGCCACACCAATTGTAGAAAAACTAGCCCTGGAGGATTCCCAAATTGGCTGTTCCTTTAGGTTCTTTTCATTGAAGGTCTACAAAATAATAACACATTTTCCCCTTCACAGACTCTCTTCTATTATGAAACCGTCATTGAATCACAGGTCCTTTAGAGGGGAATTTATAATACATAATACAGATGATATCTGTAATACCTGAAGATATCAAACACGCAATTCCTAAAGACTAGAGCAAACCCCACCCCAACTCTTGTTAACTGGAAATCAACAACAATAACAACACAGTAAAATTTATTTTTTCTGCTAATCAAACTCTGTATGTTCATATTTTCCAGTCCTGAGCTCTGACACACCCAGGATGGATAGGAATTAAGTTGGGATCCCGAAGCTGGCATGGCAGCTTAAATGGAGACTGTCAGAAATAGGTACACACATTTTATTTGAATAGGAAGATTCCTTCACCCAAATCCCATTAATCTGCAACAGACTGTATTCAGGTGTAAACTTTCAAACAGAATGGAGGTTTAGCTGAAACTGTCATCGCCTCAGGCTCAGTGTTACAACAACCTATGCATTAATTTACTTGTGGGAAAATGTCATTCTTTGTGTTATTAAAAGCAAGATGCAAAAAAAAAAAAAAGGTGGAGGGATGGAAAGCAGGTTGGGGAAGAGGGTGAGAAACTGACAAAGTTCAGTGGTCTGAGTTTGAAGGAAGAAATGTAGAGATCTTTGAATTTTGATCCTGTCTTTGACATGGATTCCCCCTGGGCTTTGGCCCAATGTCTGACTCCATTTCTTTATTTGTAAAATGGGGATTAACAACAGCCACTAGTTGCTCTGCTGGCTTAATTGTTCCTAGGGTACTTAGATATCAAGTACTATGAAGTGCTATTATCTAACCCTAGAACTTATTCAATCCTTTCATTGCTTTTTCAGAGTTTATTTTAATCATTAAACTTAACAAATTTAACGATGTTTTATGGCCAAGCGGTACCCACAGAACCCTAGATATGAGCTGGCTAAGAATTAACTGAGATTGGAAGAGACGATTTATCATGGGCAAAGTATCTATGGGGAAATCAGAATACAGATGCATTTTTTTCATTGTGGTAGTATATGTCTCTGAAAATATGGTCCTCAGTACTAAATTACTTACCACACATTCCATCTTTTTCCACAGTCCTTCCAGTTCAGACATGGGTAAATGCCACCAATCTGTGCACTTTTTGTAGCGATGGCCATGGAACCCAAACTGCCTTAGCCATTCAAACTCTACCTGTTGGCCACAAATAGAAGAAAATTACTATGATTAATCAGGTTTTGGACATGGAAATTCTGTCTTAACAATTCAAGTCTTAATGTACAGTAACTTAATGGGAATCAGAAAGAAGGCTAACAAATAATTTCTGATGTCATTTGGGGCATCAAACTAATTTTTTGAAACTGGAAAAGGAAGATCTCTGAAGTCCAAAGTTATGAACCGCTACACTAGAAAAGAAACAGACTCCATAGGTGTCACTTGATTAGGCTGAAGGCTGGAAGTAAAAAACTGAATTATGGAAGGGATGTAATCAAACAGAAGGATTGTTTTTGTCTAGAATCTTTAATTAAAAACTTTTTTTTAAGTTACACATAACACATGCTGATGTATCATGTAGAAAAAAGAGAAGGGCATTATAACCTGAATCATTCATCCACTATTAAACTGGAGACATATCACACCCAGAAAGGATTTGAGGTACCAAAGAAAAAGAAATGAACAACAAAGATCAAGAACAGCAGAAGATCAAGAAGCAACTAGAAGTGGTTAGAAGGCCAGTGCTGAAGTTGGGAAAACCTGAGTTTGAATTCCACTTCTGACATAAGTTGTGTTACCATGGGCAAATCACTTCTCTCAAGGTCCTCAGCTATTCACTAAAGACTATAAATTATAGACAAAATGTTAATCTTCATCAATTGAGGGAGTTGCTATACTAGAAGACTCCTACACTGATTAAATCACAGGTTCATGCCAAATTTCTATAGATCATATAGATCTTATGAGCATCTAAAAGATTCTAAAGATTTGAGAAGGGCACTCAAGATTTCAATGGTATAGGAAATTCTAAGTGAGGAACTTCTTTCTACTAATACAGAGAGATAAGCATCTGTTCTATAATTTACAGTCTTAGAGCAGGAATTATTAACCTGAAATGTTTTTAAAAATATTTGTCCATGAAATTTTTAAAAATTGCAGTAACTATTTTGGTATAATTGGTTTGCTTTGTATTCCTAAGTATTTCATTTTATGCATTTACAAGCATTCTGAGAAGGGATCCCAGGGATTTATCAGACTGCCTAAGGGGTTCATGACAAAAAAAAAAAAAAAAAAGTTTAAGAACTCTGGTTTTAAAGAGTTTCCAGGGACTGAGAGATTAAGTACCTTGCCCCAGGGTCAAATAGCAAGTATGAGTCAAGGGTAGAACTTGACTAGGTCTTCTTGACTCAAGGTTGGCTCTCTGGCTGCTATATCAAGCTGCCTTTCATGTATACATACATACATACATACACACATGCACATACACACATACACACACACACACACAACTGTTCAGAGACATAAGTTACAGTTTCTCAGTAAGCCCTGGAACTAGTCACCCTCCCATTCAACAAACAAAAATACTAATATGTACCAAGATGGTGGCAAAGATGCTGAAAATGTATTTTACTCCTTATGTAACTGCTGACTAAGGTGGGTACTGAAGGAACCTTTGTGTGGGTCAACAAATATTTTCCTATCTATTGTCAAGTCTTCTCTTATTACCTCCAGTTAGAAAACATACTTGGCATTTTATCCTCTATGCACCAACTATATGTACTCTAAAAAATTTCTTTTTGTCTACGCCCTTTGAAGAAATGTATAGGTCTCACTGCTTAGCTTTGCTATGGTAGTTATGTTCCATATACAGGGTCAACATGGTTATAATCATCACCTGTTCCCACAAAGAATTTTTTTTTTTTGCTTATCCATATTGAATTTTCCTGAGGCAAACAAAGGCAACTTGTGAAGGTGTAACAATGATGAAAATGGCTTAAATACCTAACCTGAGAATACCAAGTATAAACACTGCAACTTCAAAAGTCTGAAAAGGTTTTAGTTTACATTAACTAAATGTTTGTTTGATATGCAGAACTGATTTCACTGAAAGCTGTTTAAACAAAAAAAAAGGAATGTGAACAATATTAAGACAACAGTTGCTTAAACTTATCTGTGGTATTAAAAAGATAGTAGTTAACAGAAGTAAACTAAGTATTTTCAAAGAAGGCTACAAGTGTAGTTCAACTAAGAGAATACAAATTCAACCATGCATTTATCACAAGAAAAACAAGCTCTTTCTAATGAAGTTCACGTGAGATTTGTTCATGCCACAATAATAGTCTGTCAGCAGTGCACCAAGAGTTAAAAAAAGGGTTGGGATCTTAAGTCTGATGATTTCTACTGAAAGGAACATAACATACCTACCAATCTTGACAGCTGTGATATTCCAGAAAATCAAACAAATTATGACAATCGGTGAATTATGGTAGCACATGACAATATACCAATTTTATACCTGTGTAAATTAAACTCTCTTCAAAACTTGATTACTTTAGTCAGGATGATAATACATCTAGGGACCTAATTAGCAGAAAATTGAGAAATGAGAACACCCTACCCAGTCTTACTGACAAAGGTCTCTTCTTACCCCATAAATGGCTAATGTTTAGGGGTTTTTTTGTTTGTTTGAGTTGACTTTGTCTTCATTATGAACAGGAAAACACACACACACACACACACACACACACACACATTGAGGAAGAACTCAAGTCCCTTCCCATACCCTGACCATTAAGTTTCTTTGCAGAGCTCCCAGTCCAGCTTGATCCATGATGTTAGCTCTTCCCCAGGAGACAGAATCTTTATTGGCATCAAACCCATTTACTGTACATTTTATTTATCTTCATTGCTTTGCTTTTCATCTCAATGAAACGGAGATGAAACCATGTTGGATCTTTTCCAGGATTTCACTCAGGTCCCACCTATGCCAAGAAAAGCAGCTAACTCTTTTACTGAAATTAATTTAGAGGAGTAAGGTGTATCCCCAGCTGCTTGGGTTGAGTCCTGGAGTGTGAATGAGGATAAGACATCTTAAGTATCAGAGTCTAGGAAAGGAAGGTGCAAAACAGAAGTTGCACACTCTTTGGAAAAAACAACAACTAAAGGTTCACAAATGCTGAGGTGAGACAGGCTGTGCTGCATAAGCATGGAAGTGAAATATTGTTACTTAAGACTCAAAAAACAAAGTCCAGTAATGTTGATTGACAAATCTCCAACTATGATAGGGCCACGGTCCCTAACCCCTCTCCAGGGCACACTTTCTCCAAGAATTCTTATAAATAATGGAGTAGAGGTATAAGAAAAGCTATCAACAGTTGAACTGAGGAGGGGGTGGGGAACCTCAGTAGAGCAAAGGAATGCCCCTAAGAAACTGACCAAAGGGAGATATATTGAAAGGGCACAGCTTCCACGAGGTCCTCTTTGATTTACAATTTTCATAAATGTGATCATAACTCCCCTATTAGTAAGCTTTTAAAATATCTATAATACAATGATAACTAATATTCATGATTATGACCTATATACATTTTGAGATCCTGAGGGGTTTTCCGAATCATCAAAGAAAGATAAAAATAATATTTAGTCTTATTTAAGTTCTGTGTTTTACTGGATTGTATTTAACAACAAATTGGTAATCCATCTATAATATGTATAATTAAGGTCCTAGGATCAAAGATTTAGTGCTGGAAAGGGGGCCTTATGTCTAGGTCACTTAATCCAACCTCCTTGTTACACAGATGAAGAAGACTTGCCCAAGGTGGCACAGGTAGTGACAGAATCAGGCTTCAAACTAAGGTCCTCTGACTCCAAATTCAGCACTTTCCCGACCCTACCATGTTGCCTCTTGTTAACCAGAAAATCGTTTACCAGAAAATGTTAACCAGAAAATTGATTAACCAGAAAATCTTTACTACCTGACCATGCTATATAACAGAAATTACTATACAGAGAAGTCTTCCTTGTGGGTAAAGAAGACTGAGTTCAATAGGCTAATAATGTGGTTACCCAGTTGGCACAGGCCCTAAAGTCCAATGAAGTCAAAGGAATGCAAAGGAGGAAAAGGACTGTACACTTATGTCCAACATCAACCCACTGTCAGTGTCCTTCACATCATGATTAAAAGCCTGTTTTCAGAAAACCAGTCAATGCTAGGTAGTAAAGGCCACCAGCACTATTTGACATTTTGTGTACTGAAGCATCTCAGTCAATTATTAAAAGGCACTGATTATTAGATGCTGCCCATGGAGGCGATCTATATTGCCTCTCTTTTGTACCCACCAGCCCCCTGCCATGATTTCATTTTTCTCTGAGCACTCAAAATGTATATCAACCTCACAGTGGCATGAACAGTGCTACTCTTCATAGTTGTGACATAAGACAAACTATACAGTCCTCCTTTCAAATGAAGTTGAGTTTCTCACTGTATAGTTAAGATTGAGTTAGACGAATGAAAACTCTGCTAACAGGAAAGACTGGAGAAGCAAGTAACAGTAAAAACAAAAATAAGATTAAAAAAATCTAATTACTAGAGACTGAGGCCTTGATCATAGCTACAGTGGGCTACACAATGGACAGAATAGCCTTGATAAAAACAAGAGCAACGATAAAAAATCGAGTACCTAATCACTCCGCTTCAAGTGTAAAGAGTTCAGAAAAGACTTGTCTGATAACTGCAAATCACCCAGATCATCCCTACAGTAAAATATTATTTGGTCTTCTCTAAATAGCCTTGTATCTTCAATTTTATTCTTGGGGATCAGAAAGAAGAATGTACCACTCAATATGGTGGACAAACCCAAACTATTCCCACTGTCTAACGAAAAAAGCAAACAAAGTAATAAAGAGAGGTAGGCAACAGTAAAATGAGGCAACTAAAAAGCAGAATGTTTTATTAAGGAAAAAGTATACAAATAGGCAGACTTTCCCTTTAGAAAAGACCCATAAAGCAAAGGAGAACAACTTGCACTTGGCTATAGCTCAGAGAGGGAGTCCAATTTTAGAAAGTAGAACTTTCAGTTGGTGCAGCAAGCAAACTTCCTTTAGGAACGTCACAGGAACTTAAAGGGAACACCTCAAACGAGCCCTTCTGAAAAGGTGTTCAGACTTATCCCTTGAAGTTCCTCTTAATCCTTTTTCACATCTTCCAGTAACACTTGACTCTATTGACTTGACACCCTGTCTTCCCAGGCATGCTGGCTCTCTATCAGATTTGTCTGCTTTCCAGTTCTTTAAGGTGATGTTTCAAGGTTCTGTGTTTGTTACCCCTACCCTCCAACCCTACCTTTTCTCACTACTGTTTCTCCCTTGGTAATTTCACTCCGGCTCTGACTCTCTTCCAAGCTTCAGCCCAACATTCGAAGTGACTACAAACCATCTCCACCTCAAATGCAGTATGCTCTAAACAAAGCTTATTATCTTCCTCTCTAAATCTATTCTTTCTGACTACACTATTTCCATTGGTGGTGTTAGGATTATCCTCTGTTTGGAACCTTGGTTTTCATTAATCCCCTCTCATATCCAAACAGTTATCATTTTCTGCTAACTCTACCTCAGTTCTATCTCAGGCCCTGAATACCTTTTTTCTGTTACTACTGTTAATAGTTTAGTACCAGGTTTCTTTACCACCCACCTGGATTCTTGCAATATAGCCTCCTAATAAATCTCCACAGTCACATTCTCTCCTCTTACAAGCTGCTGTGAAACTAACCTTCCTTATACATTCATCTAGTCACACTGCCCTTCCCTTCAAAAATGTCTCCGTTGCCTACCAAGTGAACTTCAAACCCCTCGGCCTGGGACACAAGGCTCCTCGCACTGCAGCTCCACTCTGTCTTTGCAGCCTTATCACTTCATTCTCTCTGTCATGTTTGACCCTCTAGCCAAACCAGACTATTCTTTATGCCCAAGTAAGTCCTGTGCCCTCCTGTCTCCACAGCTTCACTCCTCCTGAGTCCTGTACCTTGAAAATCATCCTGTCTTCTCTTGAACTCTTGAATTCCTAATCCATATGTTAAAATCCAACTCAAACAACACCTCATCCAGAAAGCCTTCTCTGACCTCCCTCAAGTACCAGGATTTTCCTACCTTGGATGTCATATATCACTTCATTTTACACCTTTCTAATGCACATGCTATGTATTATTGTCTATTTTTTTAGTTACTGGTATGTGTGACCTATACCCCAACCCAACTTAACAAACATTAATTAAGCTAGTCCCATGGGCAGGACACAATGCTAAACAATGAGGATATAAAAATAAAACTCTAAAAGTTGTTGCCCTCAAGAAGTTTACATTCTACTAGAAAAGTGATACGATAATTGATATAACATGACCCACTTCAGTAGCTTTGAAAGAGATGATAGATTAAGGTTAAAAGGACTCTTGAAAATCTTCTAAGTTCTTTCATCTTTTTATATGAAGAAAGTGATCTGAAAGTTGAGATGTGACAGCAGGCTTTACAAATCCATGGGGTCTTCCACAGTATGATGCTAAGTTCCATGAATACAGAGATCGTGTCCAATTTAAACTTTGTATCTCACCGAGTGCCTTGCACAGTGTTTTGCACTAAGAACAAAATAAATTTTTAATTGAATTAAAACCATTTAGAGTCATAGGAAAAAAAAAAAGGAATGCTTCTAAACTCATACAGCCTGAAATTTTTCTTACTTGGAACGACAAAGCTTTATCTTATAATTAATAAATTAAAGGAATCCCTCTGGCCTTTAAGGGTGAAGAAAACAAAAGAGAAGTGGACAGCTATTATATACATTTAGGATTTCATTTAACAGCAAAGAACTAAGCACACACAAGTGGGCAAACACTGAAACTCAGGCCTACTTGTGTGGTAAGAGAACAATATTTGACAATATGCCTCGACATGTGGAATTAATCTCTCAAATAAGGAGATGACCTTGAAAAATCAAAGATGGAGGCACTACAGAACAGGGTGACTGGAACACACAAAACACAGATTCAAGGTCTCCATTCAACCTCAGGTTGCTGGCCTGCCTCACCCAGCTAAGGTTTCTTGATCACTCCCCATATGCACAATGTAAAAACAAAAACTGCCAGACACATTCTGAAGCAGATGGGTTCAGATGACAATATTCTGGCTGTTGAATAAACAGTCTGTGTATACAGTTTTATTTTTTCCCCTCATTTGATGTTAATAAAACATGACAAGAAGTCAGAGAAAGATAGGAGAGAAAAAGAGGCCAAGCTGTGTATTCAAGAATAGCATCTACCGTTAGCCTGGCCCCTCAAGTTGAGTTGTGGTTTTCTTTTCTTTTTTATTTTTGGGGGGGGAGGGGAAAAGGGAAGCGAAACAAACCAAAATAATTGAATTCAAATCTGTGCACTATCAATATAGCCAGGGAAATGACCATGCTGCCAGAACTTCCAATCCCATGATTCCTGGAAGATTTCATGGTCATCACACTAGATACTAGAAAGGAGGCCTCACTGCTGCTCCCTTACAGGGAATCCCAATACCAGTAAAGGCTCAGATTAGTGGAACCGTTGCACCCCCTCACGTCTACAATTCACCATTAGATTGTGAGCCCCTTGAGAGCAGGGACTATCTTTTGCCCCTTTTTGTATCCCCAGCCCTTAGCACAGTGCTTGCCACATGGTAGGTACTTAATAAATGCTAACTGACTGACTGGAATGTACTTCTTCCTCACATCTGACTCAAAGAACCTCATACTTCCTTTAAAGGACAGCTCAGGAGCAACCTCTGATCCCATTTATTCATGGTCCTTCCATCTTATATTATTTTCCTTTGTATATTATATTCTTGTCTGAAGATTATATCTACCCAATAAAAAATAAATTCTCTGAGAGCAGGGGCTATTTCAGTTTTTGCATTTGGATTACCCTCACCCCCAATCCCTCAGCATCTATAATGTGTATCAAATACTGAACAGGCAGTTAGTCAAAAAACATTTATTAAGTGCTTACTGTATGTGCTAGGCACTGAGCTGAGGATACAAAGAAAGGGAAGAGAATCTGTTCTTTAGGAGCTCACAGTCTAACAGGGAAAACAACATGCAAATATCTATGTACAAACAAGATACGTACTAGATATAATCAACAGAGGAAGGGACTAGCATTAAGGGGGGATGTGGAGAAGCTTCTTGCAGAAAGTGGGATTTTAGCCAAAAATCAAAGGAAACCAGGAAAGTTAAGAGGTAGAGGAGAGAAAGGAAAGACTTCCAGTCATGGGGGACAGCAAGTAAAAATGCCCAGGGTCAGGAGGAGGGAGTATATAGTTCTAGGAACAGCAAGGAGGCCAGTGTCACTGGATTGCTGAGTACATAGGGCGTGTAAGGAATAAGTCCATAGACTGATAGGTAGGAAGGGCCCAGATTATGAAGGGTATTAAATACCAAACAGAAGAATTTGTATTTAATCTTGGAGGCAACAGGGAGTCAATGGAGTTGAGTGAATGGGAGGAGAGAGGGTAATGGGGTTAAATTTGATAAATGCTTGTTGAATTGAAATGAATCCTTGAATTTAAGTTTCAGAAACAGAGGTAAATCATCATTCCTTTGAGAATCAAGACTGTCTTTTAACCTGAAGATATAGGCCTGAAAACCAATAATATAGTCTTCTACAATATAGAGATAGATAAATAATTTTGTTGTTTGTCCTTCGTATTGAAGAGGACAAAGATGTCTTGAGGGTGATGTCTTAACTTGCACATGAATTGGATTTAAGTGAGGCAGAGGTGCATAAAGTCATCAGCCTCACTCTCATCCGCAGTCACTGAAATCCAGTGGCAGGACAAAAGTCAGGATGATTGGCAATGGCCGGGGATATAGTGGATGACCTTGGCATCTTCAATGTTTGATCAAGCTCTAAGCGTTCCATAGAACCTGCTTCAGTCGCCTTCATGGTCATAGGAAAAAATTATTCTCATCTGCCCATTCATCCAGGAGAAGTCTCTACATACTTGAAGTGGACATTTCCCTGACTCGCCAACGAGTCTGTGGTATGTGAGTTACCCTCCAACTGGTTTAGCCCATCTGTGGAGATGGTTTATAGGGGTGTGTACGCTGAGCATGCTACAGCTTCATGGAGCCACAGATGAGAGCTGATTGAAGCAGACACCAATGGTAGATAAGCAGCCCTGAAAAGGGCTCAGCAGCCCTCACCCCAGAAGCTAGTCCTCTCTGAACACCCTTGTATACCCCAGAGAAATAATATAGAAATAAGAAATGTATCCAATACCTGATGCTGACAAACTCTTCACAGGGTACCTGTATAAATCATCTCTCCCAAAGTCTTACCTCATTATGAATTTCTTCCCCCTGCCTGATAACCGAGGACTCCAGGGATCTCAAATGCATAGCTCTGGGCTCCATGTCATCCTTCACATTCTGCAGTGCCAACTGGCATTGTTTGAAAATATAATCCAGAGTCCCTACTGAGCACTGTAAGAGAAAAAAGGTGAAGTATTAAAATTAGGATCAAGACCTAGGTCGGACCAAGTGACTCCATGCCCTCTTTTTACCATTTCTACTTTCCTACTTACTATTCTGTATACACAACATTTTACCTTCTCTCTCCAGACCTTTGCACAGGCTGGCTTCCATGCCTGGAATGCACTTGCTCCTTAACTCTATCTCTAAGAACCAGAAGGCTCTGTCCTGGGACCTAGTCTTTGGTGATCTCATATGCAGATGATTCCCAGATCTATATATCCAGCTCTAACATGGCTCTGGAATTTTAGTCTCAAATCGACAACTGTCTCTTGGACATACTGAATTGGAAGTCCTAACATGTCCAATACAGAGCTCATTATCTTTCTCCCCTCCCCAAACCTCTTCCCATTCCCAATTTTCCTGTTAATGTCCAGGGTACCATCATCCTCCCAGGCACCACAACCCTGGTGTCGTCCTTGACTCTTCACACTCACTCATTTACCCTACATATCCAACCTGATATCAAATCTTATCACTCTTATTTTCACAAAATCTCTCATTTATTTTCCCTTCTCTCTATTCACATGGCTACTACCCTAGTTCAGGTCTTCATCACTTCTTGCCTGGACTACTACAACAGCCTTCAGGTTGGTCACCTTGCCTTGAGGACTCCATTCTATACTCTATCCAGGTGCCAAAGTGATCTAAGGCATAAATCTAACCATGCCACCCTCCTACTCAATAACCTCCCATGGCTCCCTATCACCTCCAGGATCAAATATAAAATCTTTGGCAATTAAAGACCTTTACAACCTGGCCCTTTCCTATCCTTCCACTCATCTGACACTTTACTCCCTTCCATACACTCTGTGGTCCACCTCCATTGCCCTCCTTACTCTTTCCCACACACAACACTCCATCTTCCATCTTCATGTTTTTGCACTGGTTATATCCTGTGCCAGGAATGTTCTCCTTCTTCACTTTTGCCTCCTGACTTCCTTCAAGACTCAAAATGCAGCTTCTGCAGCAGGTCTTTTCTGGTAATACTCCACCCCTGCATCCCAAACCCTCGTCCCTCCCTTCTGAGGTTATCTTCCCTTTATGTTGTATATATTTTATGTGTATAGAGTTATTTGTACATTAACTCCCTCGTTAGAATGTGAGCTTCTTGAGGACTAGAGCTAAATATTTATCTTTGTTATCTCCAGAGCTTAGCACATTGCCGAGCTCATACTAAGTGATTAAAAACCCCTTACCCAAGAATCCTTAGTTCCCTTTAAAGTGCCACTTTCTACATTAGACCTGCTTTCATTTTCCCCAGTACCGTTGCCTCATCCTACCTAAACTATTTGAGTTTGTGTATAAATTTGTATTTCTTAGTATGTATACATGTTGTTTCCCCTGATAAAATACAAATACCTTGAGGGCAGGGGTGTTTCATTTTTATACAGCACCTAGCACAGTACCTTGCTCAGAAGTCAGTACTCTCTAAACATCTATCTATTGGTTGACTGACCATGGAGCTAAGGAATTACCACAAAACACGTTTTTAGGTTTTTATTTTCACCTCATGGTACATTAAATCTCATGAGAGAAGATAACCAGATCAGACTAGTTTCTCAAGAGCATACGAGAAAGATCAGCAGTGGTCAGAAAAGACCTTTGGCTTATATTGTCAAAATCTGAAAAGGTTTGAAAGGTTAAATACAGCGAATGGGAGGCGATAAAAGGCATGCAATGGCTGAAAACTGCCCTGGACTTACTTCAGTGCCAGTACAGAGCCTCAGTGATTGGGCTAGAGAAAGCATAGCAGTAGACACAAACTGAAGGGTCTGTGAAGTAAGGCCCCTGAGCAGATCAATAATTGATGCAATATCTGGAGAATTTCACAAGAAAGAGGAGGTCAGAAGTTTGGGGTCCTCTTCAATTTCTGTGTGAGTCCAGAAAAGAGGGAATGAACCTTTGCGAGGAAAAACACTGATGCAAAGGAGGGTAGAAAGAGTATAAGTGCTAGGGCTGGTGTGCTGCCATTCTGCACTGACCCTAAAGAGATAAGTGCTCTCCCATGAAGCAACAGCAGTTTGGTAAAAACAACCAGGAAACAGATTTGGTTACTTACCATTCATCTGAACTAGAATTTTCTGAGGACTCTCTACTCTTCTCTTGGAAAAAGTATCCCAAGGCAATGGAGCAAGCAAATGGACTCAGAGTTTGAAGTGTGAAGATAACTGATTTATAATGTATATGTATTAGACCCACAAGAAAAGTATTCATTTTCCTTCACTACAATAAACATTATTAAACATTAAATGAGTGTGCCAAACTGCATTAGTCACTATATAATTACAAAGAATGGATAAGATATGGACCTTGCCTTCAAGAAACTTAAAATCTAAATAACAAATGGTATGAAAGTGTCAACACAAGCCATCTGTTCCTCTGTGTGAAGTACCTGAATTTCCTCACAAGGGCTCTTTCCCCACATGCCTGGATAAGAAAAATGTCTAATGTCCAGAACAAGAGGATGCAGCCTGAATGTACATGTATCCATTTGTTTTCATAACAACATGACTTCCTTTAATGATAAAAGGAAAGCTATAAAAATATTTCAGACATAAAGGAAATGAACATATCTAAAATATATTTTTTATTTTAATATTTATAATTTAAACCAAATCCCTGGGAATAACCTTGAAGATTGACCCTTCTGGTACTGGAATTTTTTGCATAAGAATTTCCATTGCATACAAGATGAGACCACTGAGGATTTGGGAAAACAAAGGGCAGAAAGCAGAACCTTGAAGCCAATGTGCATTTAATATTAATATACCACAGCACAAAGGGCACAGAGGCAAGCACTTCCAATTTGCTGCAAAGGAAAAGTAAAGAAGGGAGGTGAACCCCACTAACTATAACTATATACAAAAATAAAATTGTATTCTATGTCTAAACCCAAGCACATGTCTGTCACTACCATACAGCCCTAAGTCAAATAATGGCCTGCTAGGTCTTCAGCAACTAAAAAATCTGACAGTCTTATTAAGAAATTTAATTCACAAAACAGTATTTCTATATGACAGTCAATTTTCTACACAACATGAATGGGGCAGAGAAGGCAAAAAGCAAATCATTTACATTTAACATGACCAGAACTTCAATGTTAAAGTCACTATCCAAAGAAAAGAGGATGCAGAATGAATAACAGTTGCTACTTATATTACTGGTCTTGTGGACCACACTTTGAAGCTTTTGAAGTCTTGGAGCACACACAAAACACAAGATCATAACTGCTAGAAAAATTTGGAGCAATCTCCATCCTGAGGTCTGTTGTCTTGATTCATGATTTTTGATTTCCAACAGCTATAACTTCAGAGGCCCCAGCCATGCTCACTTTGTTCCTGGTTCAACTCATTCCTCACCAGCTGCCTTGCTCCAACAAGGGTATCCTTCCCACTCCCTCCCCCCTTTCTGTGTTTCCTTTACACCTTGTCCTTCCCCCATTAGAATGTAAGCTCCTTGAAAGTAGACAGTCTTGTTTACTTGTATCTGTAATCCAAGTGCTTATCACAGTTTAAAGCACACTGTAAATGCTTTAATAAATACTTGCTCATCTAGCTATCCTTAACAGTTATGTAATTAGCTTGTTTTAAGCCTAGGAACATTATAACAGCCCTTTAATTCCACAAGATTCCTTCTTTTGCTATTTGAGAAAGTTTATATTGAACAAAAAGTGAGGAGCATACTCACAATATTTCCAAGCTCCTAGTTAGGAAAAGTTCTAACATTTGGGCAGAGGTTGGGTTATCTGCCTTACATTTCTTTTTTTTTTTTTAATTAATTAATTTTTAGTTTTCAACATTCACTTTACAAGATCTTGAGTTCTAAATTTCCCCCCTCCCCCTCCCTTCTCTCCCCAAGATGGCATGCAATCTGATAGAAGCTATGCATGTACAATCATATTTAACATATTTCCACATTCTTACTTCACTTTTCTATTTTATCTTCTGGCCTCTTTGTGGTTGAGGCAAAAGTCAGGTTCCTGGAAGAAAACTGTTTAGGGCTCAGATTCTTATAATCTAGCCACTAGTTCATTAATGTTCAGACTCTTCAAGAGTCTGCCCAATATGATGGATGTTCTAATAAACCTCGTCTTCCGCTGGAAAAAAAAGAGATGATAAAATATACCTCCCTTCTCTCAGTAGATGGAAAATTATGGGAACAGAATGTTTGACCACTATCCAACTGTCATTTTGTTGGTCAGTTCTGCTTTGTTATAAGGGAGATTTCAATGGTGTGGGGAGGGGAGCCCAGGAATATTGTGAAATTACTGTGAATTATTTTGGTAGTGCCCATCAATTGGGAAATGACTGAACAAATTATGTTTTATGAATGTAATGGAATATTGTGCTATAAGAAGTGATAAAAGGAACTATTTCAGACAAACTTTGGAAGACTTATATGGACTGATGCACAGTGAATCAAGCAGAACCAGGAGAACAATTTTTACTACAGCAACAAGATGTAAAGATAATTCTTTTTAAGGCAATGGGGGTTAAATGACTTGCCCAGGGTCACACAGCTAGTAAGTGTCAAGTGTTTGGCCTGAGGCCAGATTTGTACTCAGGTCCTCCTGACTTCAGGGCTGGTGCTCTATCCACTGCACCACCTAGCTGCCCCTAAAGACAAACAATTTTGAAAGACTTCAGAACTCTGATCAATGCAATCACCAATCAAGATTTCAGAGAACCTACAGGGAAGCATGTGCTATCTACCTCCTGAGAGAGAAGTGATGGACTCAGGGAGAAGACTGAAACACAGTTGAACACAATGTGAGAACTCATTTTGCTTAACTATGCATACTTGCTCTAAGGGTTGTAGTTTTCTTTTTTTTTTTTTTCAATGGAAGGAGGAAAGTGAGAGGGAAGGGGGTAGGAATAGGGTCTTCCTTCCTCAAAAAAATGAAAAGAGATTAGAAGGAAGGCCAAAAGGACAATTTTGAAAATTACATG